GATCGTACTTGAACGTATGGCATCGTATACGACCGTGTACTATCGTGCCTTTTTGACCTGGGATTTTGAAAACCAACAGCTGACCAAAAATCATTCGTTAATTGTTGAGGATTTTGATGACCAAGAATAAAATCAATACATACATGTTCACCAAGACTACGTATTGCTTTAAGAAGTTTTAAACGACCTTCACGATCATTATATTGACTATTTAATAAACTAAATATTTTTCGTATCATTGAACGACTGTATACTGATTCACATTCTTTACTATTAACTAAAAAATAGTCATATCAAAAAAATTACATAGACTTTTTGTGTTTTTCTTCTTACTTATTGGTTTAATTATAATTGATATGTCACCAAGAATTTTTTCTGTACTATTAAAAGATGTTTTGGTTTCATCATCAAGTTTCATATAAGATGGAGATTTACCATAATGTTCTTTATGATCTTAAGGTAACTATGTTTAAATAAAAAAAAAAAGAAAACGAAAAATATTTTTTAGTATTTAATAATTAATTTAAATATTTACTTTTGATGGATCATAAAGAATAATTAATAATGGATAATTTGTTGGTAATTGATCAATTAGTGTATGATCTATTCCAAATGAAACTTGATCTTGTGGACATTTTGTTTCATTACGTATTGTATTAATACATTCTCTACACATTGTATGACTACATACAGGTAATGTTATTGGACGATATAATGGATTTTCATATTCAAAATCATGTGAACATCTAGCACAACGTAAAAATTCCATATAATATGATTGAATTGCTTGATTTGATAGAGAATTGCTATTCAATATCTATAAATAAATAAAAAAAATAGTTATTTTCATTTTTATTTTATTTATAAATAAATGAATAAATCATACTTACTAGTTTCAATAGATAATTTCTTGTATATATGTTGTAATGATAATGTTAGACAAAATTCTTTGTTTTAATCGCTGCCTATTTAACTAACTGAATGAAGAGACAGATAGCAGATAGAGAGACGAGGAGAATGGTGGTGGACGTATTTGTGTCTTGACTTTCTCTCTCTCTGTCTGTTATTTCTTCAGTTTCAATGGATATGTGATGATAACTTCAAGTATACATAACATACAAAAGAAAAGTAACAACATACATACACTCGTTGGAAAACAAACATTTGCATTGTTCTTCTTCTTTTTTTCTTTACTAATATAGAGAAAGAAATAAAGTTGGTTTATTTCATTGATTACACGTGACAAGTGAAATAAAGAAAAATATACATATATTTAAGATCAAAACATTAATTTTAACAATAGAAAATTTTCAATAGTTATCTTTTTGTTTATATTCTCTCTTTCTCTCATATTGTTGTCTAAGAAAAAAACTAAAGATCACAAAAAAAATCCAAAACTGAGGCCAAGTTTTTTGTCTTTTTTTTTATGGATGCTTACCTTTATTTGGTATCTTTAACAAAGGGTGTGGGTGTGGGTTTGGGTGTGGGTGTGGGTGGGTGTGGGTGTGG